GGGAGTGGTGGCGGCGGCGGCGGGCGGCCACCGCCAGGCCAAGCCGCCGGCTCCGACGAGCTGCCCCAGCGCGTGCTCGTGCGCCGTGCACGCGTCCGACGGGGGCCTCGCCGTCGACTGCCAGGGCCGCGGCATCGAGCGCGTCTCGGCCCTGCGGCCCCGCCCCCTGGGGCCCCGGAGGCTGTCGCTGCGCGCCAACAGCATCCGCGAGGTGCTGGCCCACGACTTCCGCGACCTGGGCACCCTGGAGCTGCTCCACCTGGGCGCCAACCGCATCTCGGCCGTCCGCGACGGCGCCTTCCTGGGCCTGTCGCGCCTGCGCCGGCTCCACCTCGACGCCAACGCCCTGCGCAGCCTCTCGGCGGGCACCTTCGCCGGCCTCGGTGCCCTCCGCTTCCTCTACCTGGAGTCCAACGCCATCGCCGAGGTGCACGCCGGAGCGTTCGCCGCCACCGCCGCCCTGCAGCTCCTCTTCCTCAACCGCAACCGCCTGCGCCGGCTGCCCGCGGGCCTCCTTGCCGCCGCCGCCGGCGTCACGAGGCTCAACCTGCGGGGCAACCGCCTGCGCGGGCTGCCCGCCGATGGGCTCCTGGCGCCGCTCGCCGCCTCGGCGGTGCAGGTGGACCTGCGGGACAACCCGTGGGAGTGCGACTGCTCCGCCGAGCCCCTGCGCCGCTGGCTCGACTCCCTGAGCACGGGCATCGTGCAGGGCGCCGTCGAGTGCGCGGGCCCCCCGGCGCTGGCCCGCCGCGACCTGCGCTCCGTGCCCTTCGACGAGCTGTGCGCCGGCGAGCGCCTCGCAGAGGCTGCCGCTCCCACGGCGGGCGGCACGGCCCCGCCGCCCGCCGCCCCGTCCCCGACGCCGGCACGCGGACCCCTCGGCGTGCCGCTCTCCGTGCTCCTCCTGGCTCTGCTCGCCGCTCTCGTCGCCGCCGTGGCGCTGCTCGCCGCACTCTTGCGGCGCCGCGGGGCGGCCTCCCGCCCGCCGGCGGCCGACGCCGTCGCCGGCCGCGCCAACGCCGGCCTAACGGCGGCGTTCGACTACGGCCGCTACGAGGCCAAGGCGGCGGAGGCGGCTAAGGCCGAGGGGGTATCTGCGCCGGGGCCGAATCGGCGACGGGGCGGCGGCGGCGGACCCTCCATCTACACGGTGCCGCTGTGCGCCGGCGACCCCGACCGCCGGTACCGTCAGGTGCTGCTCGGCGAAGGGAGCGCGGCCGGCTCGGCTTCGGCGTCGCGCGAGCACGGCCGCTGCCCCGGCGCGCCGGCCCTGCGGTACTACACGCTGGACCACCACCGGCGGCAGCGGTGGCAGCAGTACGACGGCGCCGGCTGCGGCGCGGCCGACGCGTCGTACCTCGGCGGCAGGGCCCCTCACGTCAGCTTCCAGTTCCGCAGCCTCAGCAGGCTGGGCCGGTTGCAGCAGCAGCAGCGGCAGCGCCAGCGGCAGCAGCAGCTGAACTACGACTCGGGAAAACGCCCGTCGCAGGCGGCGCATTCGCCGGCGCCGCTGGGGTTCCGAGCGGAGGGTGCGGTGCGAGCCGCCGGCGAGTGCCTGGAGCTCAACGCGAGGCTGCGTGCCGAGCCCGACTACCTGCAAGTGCTGGAGAGGCAGTCTCCGTACGAGCAGTTCTAACGCAGGGCACCCATCCACTTGTGGGGAGGGGCGGGACCACACGCGCGACCGTTCACCGGAGGAAGAGGCCTGAACGTTCATCGAAGGTCGGGCTACGGGAATGCTCGGCATTCCCACCCGCCCGCTCTCTGTTGTTCTTCTGACGTTTTTGATCGCCGGAGGAGAAGGAAGGAAGGTCCTGGGTTGAATGTGAGTTCAAGGTCGGGCTGTCGAGATGTGCGGATACACTCCCGCCCTCTGCTGCTCTTACGTTTTCAATCGCCGGAGGAAGAAGGTTTGGGCTGAACATGCGTTGAATGTCGAGCTGCTGATATGCTCGGGATACGCGCCTGCCCGCTCGAACCCGCCCTCTGTTCTTACGACGTTTTTGATTGCCGGAAGGCGGAGGAGGAAGGAAGGTCTGGGCTGACGTTGCGTTCAAAGTCGGGTTACGGATACGCTCGGGATACCCGCCCGCCCGCGCGCCGTTCTTACGAAGTTTTTGAAACATGGTTTGAAGCCGGGAAACCGCCACTCATCTCTCGACGGACGCTGCCATTTGTATGCACGGAGCAATTTTTATAGCCATAATAAATAATAACAGCCGGAGGCGCAAAGCACCGTAGTAGGTTTCGAAACGCGTGAACACCAAGTAAAGACGCATTCACCTTCACGTTTAGGAATCATTTACCTTCACGTTTAGGAATCATTTACCTTCACGTTTAGGAATCATTTACCTTCACGTTTAGGAATCATTTACCTTCACGTTTAGGAATCATTTACCTTCACGTTTAGGAATCATTTACCTTCACGTTTAGGAATCATTTACCTTCACGTTTAGGAATCATTCACCTTCACGTTTAGGAATCATTTACCTTCTCGTTTAGGAATCATTCACCTTCACGTTTAGGAATCATTTACCTTCACGTTTAGGAATCATTTACCTTCACGTTTAGGAATCATTTACCTTCACGTTTAGGAATCATTTACCTTCACGTTTAGGAATCATTTACCTTCACGTTTAGGAATCATTTACCTTCACGTTTAGGAATCATTCGCTTGTCTCTGCGTTACCCTTTCCGCCTCTCGCTCATTAGCCTGCCCCTTATTAGTAGCGACGGTAATCATAGGACACTCTCATTTGGCTCTACGAGGTAACGAAAATTATTCTTCGGGGGAAAAGAAAATGGCCCTCTTGTTTACTCGGCACTAACGTTACCCTTGGTTCTGCGACCGTTTTTTTTTTGTACGACACGCGGTTTAATTTTCCCCGCGTGACACGGACGTCTCTCGCGTACGGAAGCGGCGTAGACGTTTGCGCGTGCCGAGTTGGTTACGAGGAACTGTACGATGAATGCACTTTCAACCGCGCGACCGAGAATAAACGTATTTTAAAATCGCCGCAGCCGCTCGCCACGTGTGTGAGAGAGCACTTTCCCCGAAGTTAGAGGCAACGGGTTAAGAGGAGGTGCTGAGTAAATGAAGGTAACTTGTCATTGCCCTTCTTGGTTCTTTCGGTAAAGTCACGTAGAAGGGAAATAATAAAATAATAAAAAGAAAACATAATAAAATACAATTCTCACGACGTTTCGGTCACAACGCAAGCAGCCGTCCTCAGGTGAAGAACAGGTCTGAAAAACAGGTCTGTCGGAAAGACAGCGTCTGAATGAACCCTTCATTCTCAGACGCTGTCTTTCAGACAGACCTGTTCTTCACCTGAGGACGGCTGCTTGTTTGTGTCGGAAAGACAGCGTCTGAATGAACCCTTCATTCTCAGACGCTGTCTTTCCGACAGACCTGTTCTTCACTTGAGGACGGCTGCTTGCGTTGTGGCCGAAACGTCGTGAGAATTATTAGAACAGGTCTGTCGGAAAGACAGCGTCTGAATGAACCCTTCATTCTCAGACGCTGTCTTTCCGACAGACCTGTTCTTCACCTGAGGACGGCTGCTTGCGTTGTGGCCGAAACGTCGTGAGAATTGTATTTTATTATGTAAAATTTTTATTATTTTATTATTTCCATTCTACGTGACTTTACCGAAAGAACCAAGAAGATGAATCCCTGCAGTCACGAAAGATTTAAATCGAAATTTATTATTGCCCGTTTAAAAAAGAATTGTTCACGTCAATGCAGGGCACTATTCAAACACTATTCACTATTTTTTAAAATATATCCTTTGGTTCTTTCGGTAAAGGGACATAGAGATCCAGGTCCGATTCAATACAATACACAAAATCCGTGATCTAATCCCCTCTGTGAAGGATGTCATTCCTGACGTGCAATATCCTGGAGTCTACAAACTGCGCTGCACCTGCGGTGGCAGTCACATTGGTGAAACGAAACGACATGTCTCGGACCGTGTTCGCGAACACAAGGCAGATCTGAAACACGGCAGAACCAATACCTCTGCCGTGGCTGACCATTGCTATAACGCTGTGGGCTCGTGTGATATAGTTTTTTCCGAGACCAAGGTACGCTCTGCAAACCTTCGGGCTACTATCAAAGGTTTGTTCATGAAGCCATCTATATATATAAAATCGTTCATGTCTGTCTGTCTGTGTGTGTGTGTGTGTGGACTTTGGCCCATACGCACTTTCATTGGACGGCGGTTGCCCCTGGCAACGGCTAGCCACGCCTTCGCCGCTTTCATTGGACCTGGCAACGGCTAGCCACGCCTTCGCCAAGGGCTGCAGTTTCATTGGACTGCGGTTGCCCCTGCCAACGGCTAGCCACGCCTTCGCCACTTTCATAAGCTCCGTATTTAATTAAATAATAGCCATTACACAGTATTGTTGGAGCGCTAGGGGGGGGGGAAGGAACGCCACCCGTACCCTGCCTCTTCCAAGCCGACAATTTTAGGCGAGGCCGCAGGCTTTGCACGCTACTAGGCCTCGACACCCACCACGCCACTCTGAGGTAAATTCATCAAAGTTTTTCCTACTCTTCACTACACCCCCACCACAATGTGTGCTATTAATATTACTTTTAAATCCAACGCGCCAACAATCGATTACTTTAATGTTCACTGTACAAATACTCATTAAGCTGGGTGAGCGTACTGCCAGTCTATCATGTACACTGTAGCCTGCTTATTAAGCTCGGTGAGCGTACTGCCACTCTATCATGTACACTCTAGCCTGCTTATGAAGCTGAGTGCGTGTACTGGCAGTCTATAATGTGGACTCTTGCCTGGTTATTATAATCGATTCTTTATATGTTCTTTGTACAAACAGTCATTAAGCTGCTTGAGCGACCTCAGTTCGATTCCAACTCACGCCCACCACCGCTGACGATTATTTGAAACGGACCTGGCCCTCCCCTAGGTCCACTCAGCCTCAAAAGCGTAACTGCTGTCGTGTGTGAACATCGTCACTGGGGAGACAAAGGCGGCGGGGCATCGTGGATCCAAGTCCCGGGCGAAGCCGGGTCATGTGTATGTGTGTTTGTGTTTATGTGTATGTCTGTGTGTCTCTATGTATGTGTGTATGTATGTGTATGTATGTGTTTGTGTGTATGTGTGTCTGTATGTATGTGGGTTTTTTTTTGTCTTTATGTGTATGTCTGCGTGTCTCTATGTATGTGTGTATGTACGTGTGTGCATGTGTTTGTGTGTATGTATGTGTGTGTCTATGTATGTGTGTGTCTATGTATGTGTGTGTATGTGTGTGTATGTATGTGTGTTATGTGTCTGTCTGTGTCTGCATGTATGTGTGTGTGTATTGTGTATGTGTTTGTGTGCATGTATGTGTGTGTTTGTGTGTATGTGTATGTCTGTGTGTATGTGTTTGTGTGTATGTGTGTGTATGTATGTGTGTGTATGTGTTTGTATGTGTTTGTGTGTTTACGCTCGCATTACACAAATGTGTTGCTGGTCTAAGGCGTTCCTCGCACAGCATTGCCGCTTTATTATTTCAGTCGTTTACTGCCTTACGCACCCTGAAAGTCGTGTGTGTCTGCAGCAAGCGCGTGTATGTGTACCTATGGACGCGCGCGCGTGTGTTGTGTAGGGGGAACGGTAGTGTAGTGCTTAGCGTGCTGTCTGTGTCTGTGTGTGTGTGTGTCTGTCTGTGTCTGTCTGTGTGTGTCTGCGTGTGTCTGTGTGTGTGTCTGTGTGTGTGCGTGTGTGGTGTGTGGGGAGCGGTAGTGTAGTGCTTAGCGTGCTGTCTGTGTGTCTGTGTGTGTGTGTGTCTGTCTGTGTCTGTCTGTGTGTGTCTGCGTGTGTCTGTGTGTGTGTCTGTGCGTGTGTGGTGTGTGAGGAGCGGTGGGTGTAGTGCTTAACGCTACGCTGCGCTACCAACCCGGCGAACCCAGTTCCATTCCCGCTCACGGCCACCACCGGTGACGATTATTTGAACCTCCCCTAGGTCCACTCAGCCTCAAACGAGTAACTGGTGTGGCGTATTAACATCGGCACTTGGGAGACAAAGGCGGCTGGGCGTGGTAGATCCAAGTCCCGGGCGAAGCCGGGTCATGTGTATGTGTTTATGTGTATGTCTGTGTGTCTGTATGCATGTGTGTATGTATGTGTGTGTATGTGTTTGTGTGTATGTCTGTGTGTGTATGTATGTCGGTTTTGCCGCCGTGGTGGATCCAAGTCCCGGGCGAAGCCGGGTCATGTGTATGTGTTTATGTGTATGTCTGTGTGTCTGTATGCATGTGTGTATGTATGTGTGTGTATGTGTTTGTGTGTATGTCTGTGTGTGTATGTATGTCGGTTTTGCCGCCGTGGTGGATCCAAGTCCCGGGCGAAGCCGGGTCATGTGTATGTGTGTATGTGTTTATGTGTATGTCTGTGTGTCTGTATGCATGTGTGTATGTATGTGTGTGCATGTGTTTGTGTGTATGTATGTGTGTGTGTATGTATGTGGGTTTTTTTGTATGTGTTTATGTGTATGTCTGCGTGCCTGTATGTATGTGTGTATGTACGTCTGTGGATGTGTTTGTGTGTATGTATGTGTGTGTCTATGTATGTGTGTGTATGTGTTTCTGTGTTTGTATGTGTGTGTATGTATGTGTGTTATGTGTCTGTCTGTGTGTCTGCATGTATGTGTGTGTGTATTGTGTATGTGTTTGTGTGTGTTTGTGTGTTTACGCTCGCATTACAAAAATGTATAATGCGGGTCTAAGGCGTTCCTTACACAGCATTGCCGCTTTATTATTTCAGTCGTTTACTGCCGTATGCACCCTGAAAGTCGTGTGTGTCTGCAGCAATGGACGCGCGCGCGTGTGTTGTGTAGGGGGAACGGTAGTGTAGTGCTTAGCGTGCTGCCTGTGTCTGTGTGTGTGTGTCTGTGTGTGTGTGTCTGTGTGTGTGTCTGTGTGTGTGTCTGTGTGTGTGCGTGTGTGGTGTGTGGGGAGCGGTAGTGTAGTGGTTAGCGTGCTGTCTGTGTGTGTGTTTCTGTCTGTGTGTGTCTGCGTGTGTCTGTGTGTGTGTCTGTGTGTGTGTCTGTGTGTGTGTCTGTGCGTGTGTGGTGTGTGAGGAGCGGTGGGTGTAGTGCTTAACGCTACGCTGCGCTACCAACCCGGCAAACCCAGTTCGATTCCCGCTCACGGCCACCACCGGTGACGATTATTTGAACCTCCCCTAGGTCGACTCTGCCTCAAACGAGTAACTTAACTACTGTAGCGTATTAACATCGCCACTGGGGAGACAAAGGCGGCCGGCCGTGGTAGATACAAGTCCCGGGCGAAGCCGGGTAGTACAGCTAGTCCAGATATATAGACATAACTTAAACCGAGAAG